ATTTGATTTGATTTGAAATTTCTATATTTGAATTTGATTTAAGTTCAAATATTTGATTAAATCAAATCAAATCAAATCAAATTGCAGAACTCTAGTTGCTCTCAAGAAATCTACCACAATTATGACAAGGGCTAGAAAGCAGAAAAAAAATAATACTTATGAATCCTTTTTCTGTATCATATTTAAATAATATTACTTTATCTATTGCTAACAGAAGACATACTACAGCTAAAAAATAAGAACCAATAAATATTTTCAATTCTCTTTTTATTTTAATTTTTTTTTTTTTTTTTTTTTTGACTAGATTTGATGAAATAGACTAGAAAAATAAAAAATAAATTACCTATTACTATTATCATTTTCGGGAGATAAACCATGACTATGGCCACAGCCACGGCCACGACCATGGCCATGGCCATGACCATGGCCACGACCACGACCACGACCATGGCTAGTAAAAAATAAATGAAGTTAGATTAGTAAATGCTTTTACACTTTTCTCTCAGACTAAATTTAGATAGTTGGAAAGTATTAAATTTATTGCTATCCTTATTCTTGGGAGACATGTCATGGCCATGACCAAAGCTAGAAAATAAAAAATGAGTTAGGTTAGTACAGTAAATACTTTTCATAATTTTTTTTTCGAATAGATTTAAATATAGTCTAGAAAGATTAATTATCCATTACTACTATTATTTTCAGGAGACATACTATAGATATGACCACAGTTATAACCAGGGCTAGTAAATAAGAAACAAGTCAGGTTAGTAAGTGTTTCTTATAATTTACCTTTTTTTAGATCAAATTTGATCAAAAAAAAGCATTAATTACTTATTGCTGTTATTAGGAAAAATATTCTAATCATAACTACAGCTAGGACCAGAGCTAGAAATAAGAAAATAAAGTTAGACTAATACTATAAATATTTTTATAATTTATCCAATTAGTTTAAAATAGATAAATGGTTTGGAAAGTCAATTATCTATCGTCATCATCAGAAGACATACCATGGTTTAGAAAATAAAAGATTAGTAAGTGCCTTTAGCATTTTCCTCTTAGAACAAAAATCTAGATTACCTGTTATCAAGAGAAATGAAATTATCATGACCATGGCTAGAAAATAAGAAATAAAGTAAGGTTAATAATTTTTATTTTAATTATTGAATAATTAGAGAAATTTGAAAAGTACTAATTACCTATTGCAATTGTCATTACTAGGAGAAATACTACAATTACGACTAAAAGAAATACCATAACTATAGGAACTAAGGAGATAAGATTGGATTAGCCCCTTTTATGTTGTTCTTAGGATAACACAAATAGAAAGATCTGAAAAGTATAAATAACAATAAAGATATGCCATCGATTATTATAACATCATAAGAAATACTATACTTATAACTACTATCGCCAATGTTCATGTTATCTGTTTCACTATAACTAATATCTGTATCATTAGTTTTACTATTGCTAGAGCTATATTCATTAGATTTACGACTACAACCACGTCCACATCCACGTCCACGACTATATCTACGACCACGACCACGTCCATGACCATGCTTAGAATTCTTATTGTCAGTTGTACTGCTCTTTTTGTTGGTTATAAAAGATTTTATTTAATAAAGTTTTTTTTTTTAAAAAAAAAAACATAAAGATAAAAAAATAAATAATCTAAGATAATTTATATGGCTATCAGTTTTGTTCTTTTTCTTTTTTTCATGTCACTTAAAATAGGATACCACATTATCAACTAGTAATAAGACTCTCCTATCTTTGACTCAAAATTTATAGTTTAAATCTTTTACCCATTTTTTGAAAATGTCATACTTCATCTATGCCTTTTTGTTATTTTTATATGTTACAAGTAATGCAGCATGATTCTTAACCTTTTTAAAGCAACATGGGTTACTAGATTTACTGATGACAAGAGGCTTGAGTTTTTCTGTATCTGTAGAATTTACTGTTAACATTACTATTAGCTGATTTTTATTCTAAAAAAATTAATGTTAAATATGAACTTGGCAAATTTATTTAGAAATCATCAAAATGAAATTCACTAGTGTTATTATTATTCTTAGCTTCAAGATTAGAATTAGGAATTAGGTTAAAGGTTTTTAGGATACTGACCTAATTCCAAATACTAATCAATAAAGCTATTTTTAAAAAATAGCATGCCTAGTAAATTTTACCTCTTTATAAGTGTTAAAATCATCCTATTATAAAATTATTAGCGAAACTTTTATCACCTTTTTTTTTTCAGTAACGGGGCCAGATGATAAGATTTGATTGGGTTCTATCCTAAAAAATAACCCTGTTTCATCAGCGTTAAATACATCTTTAGGTCGATACTTTGCAATTAAAGTTCTTAATTTGACTTGCATATTTGGTAATAATTCAAGTGGCACATCATTGGCCTCTCCGTGTATTTTATGCATCTTTAAATTATTTCTTTGTTTGAATCCATTTAACCAACCATTAGAAAATTTCATATCTTCTTCAGATATACCCATAATCTTGCAAAATAATGAGCCTTTTCAGAAATTAAAGCTTCTGAAACTGATAACCCTGATACTATTACTTGGTTAACCCAAATACTAAGAGCCTTTTCTAAACTTGGATACTTAACTCTACTCATATGAAAAATAATATTGTTGGTCTCATTAGGCGTAAGATTTATCCATTTTTCCTTATTAGATAAAATCTTAGATATTATAGATCTATCCAAATTTAATTGATACTTTGAATTAAACTCATCTTTAATATTACTTTGGGTTTTATTGGGATTTTTTTGATGAAACAAACAGATTTCTTTTTTTAAACTATCCCTTAATATGTAGACCAACACAGGCAAATTTGTCTGCGTTTTTGCACTTTTTTAGCTCTGATTTACTTTTTTA